TCACAGTACTGCTTGCATGCTGCTGAGGTGATAAGATCCGAGTCTCACCAGTTGTGGTTGCACACACCTCTAATCCCAGCGCTGGGAGATGGAGGAGACTCAGTTGGAGGGCAGCTTGGTGTACCTAGTGAGTTCCCGTCTTTAACAACAACAAAATCTGTTCACCTTTATGTCCTCTGGTTTCTTTGAAGGGCCTTTTCCATTTGGTGGGATACCAGCCTCTCCATTAGTTTTCTCTCACTACTTCATTGTTATCTAGAGCTCCTGTGTGTGAAAGAACAGAGCAGACAATGGCCCCTTTTCCTGAAGATAACTTGGAAATTTTTATTCCTCTTTCTCCATGGTGGGGGGAAGGTAGCCCTCCTAGCAAAAGGGCATCACTCAGTTGATCGGGTCCTGTGATGCATTTTACTTAGAAAAGGAATCCAGCTGATCAAATCTTCAGAGACAGCTAGTGTCCTATGGCTGTTGTTGGGGGTCTCTTGTGATGTGGCCTGTCAGCCTGCCGTCTATTTCTGTAGCGAGCCTGAGTGAGTCCATCAAAGGTTGAACATAGTTGAGTTGGCCTTGCCTAGTCTGAGGCTTGAGGCCTTGGATGGTACGGAGATGTGAGCTCCAAGCCCTGGGGGAAGAGGTGACTACTTTGCTCACTTAGTGGCCTCTCAAAGTTCCTTCTAGCTGACAGTAGTGTGGAAGAATCTGCCTGTGGCCCTGGTCTGAAACCTTCACAGGCCAGTGTCCCACCCATAGTCTACCTGTTTCTCCCCATCGCCTGTGCCCTAGAACACTCGTACTAGGAACTTGCAGTACAATATGAAAACAGCAGACTGGAAAGCTTTGACACACAGGATGGAATCCAGAACCTCACACATGTCATGCTCATATTGTTGAATCACATACCAGGCCCTATGTTTAAACTCATGTTTAAAACTAAATGGGGGGGGGGGAGGCGGTGGAGAGATGACTCAGCAGTTGAAAGTGCTTGTTCTTGCAGAGGACCCAAGTTCGATTCCCAGCACCAGCACGGCAGCTCACAACTCTCCATAACTCCAGTTATGCCCTTTTCTGACCTCTGAAGGCAGCAGGCACCCACAATGTGCTTACACATACACATAAGCAAAATACTCAGGCACTTGAAATAAATCTAAAAACACCCTAAAGCAAAGCAGGCTTGGATTGGTTAGTTTCTTACATGCCTAGTCCCAACACAGTATATAAATTTACTAATTTGTTTGAATTTTGATTTTTTACACAGACTCACCAATGAAATAATTCTAAATGCCCTTCCAGTCCTCCTGCTCAGGCCATGGGTGCTGCAAAGCTTGTGCTGCTGACCCACAGGAACCTCCAGTTGATGAAGATGCTTTAAAAAGGAATTCTAAAATCTGATGGGATGTCAGGATAGCTCAGCGGGTACCTAAGCAAGTTTGATCCCTAAAATAAGGTGAAGGATCAGCACCAACTACAAGTTGTCCTCTGACCTCCACATGGGTGCTGTAACACACACACAGTGATGTTAAAAAATCCAGTGTTCTGTTCATTGTACCTTTACAGTGCCCTTGGACCCCTGTGGGAGGAAGAACAGGTTAGCTACCTGCTCTCTTTGGCTGTCCTCCCTGTTCAAAGTAAAGAACTTGATACTGCGTCTGCTCCAGGAGTTATTTCCCTTTATACAGCTCAAGAGCATCTCTAGGGTGTCTTCTCAGAATCTAAAGCTGCTGCCTGACAAGCCACCTAGGCTCTCAAAAGAGACCAGAGCCTGTAAAGATGAGTGCCGTGGTGAGCAGGCCTTTGGCTTGGCCTTTCTCTGGATGCCATTTTTCCACTTTGGAGTGCCTGCCTGCACACTGCAGTGTCCCTGTCTGCCCGATGCAAACACTGTAGTAATCACAGACTTCTAAAGTTGGAAGGGCTTGGGGAGTGATGAGAGATGTTTGCAATTCCATCAAAGCAGCGCCTTTATTTCTGTAGACTGGACTGAAGATGCAGGAGAGATGGCTCAGCAGTTAAGAGCACTGACTGCTCTTCCAGAGGACCAACGTTCAATTCCCAGCACCCACATGGCAGTTTACAACTGTCTATAACTGCAGTTCCCGGGAACCTGACACCCATAGCAAAACAAAAAAAATGCATATTTAAAAAAAAAAAAAGATTGAAGTGAAGTGACCAGTTCTCCCTGGGGTTTGGTTTTGCTGGTCCCATTCCCACTGTGTTATCGCACCATGGGTAGTGTTTATGACTAGTTGCATTAATCGTGCTCAAAAGCTTGTTAGCAAATCTCCCATTTGTTAATGATGTTTCACAATAATGGTTTCTGATCCCCAGTCTAACTTGCAGATAAGGATCTTAGGTAAGCATTGATTGTACATTGATTGAAGGGATTCTCGCCAGCTCTAGCAGGCCTCACCCCCCCCCCCCATTCCCTCTCCCTTTGCTGTAAACCCTTAAATTACATTCCTAAAGCTAGTCACCAAGGTCTATTCCCTTATTTGGTCACTTCTTCCTGAGGCTGACTACCAAAGTCTAGCTATCAAGGTATTAAATAAGTCTAGCTATCAAAAGCTCCCTTTGGCGGTCCTAAGACACCCAATCAAAATTAAATACCTCATTCTAATGCAGGGTTTGCCTTTGTGCCTTTATAAACTAGCCATTTGCCTATGTGCCATCTGTCTCCTCTCTATCCAGAGGCAGTCCTTTGTCTCCTAGGAGAAATACCCCTGGCCCTCTCTCTTGTTCCCTTCTCCCTTGTCTTCTTTCTTATTCCTGCTTCTGTCCCTCTGGAGCAAATAAGTCATGATGCTGTGCACTGGGTCTTGTGCAGATTCTAGTCTCTTCGTTGGTGGCATAATATCAGTCATTTTGGGGACCCTCAAACTCACTGGTTGCCTTGAGATCAGTTAGAATCCTTAAGTCTTGGGTATGTGTGACAAATGATTTATATTTTTTTCAGTCTCCAAACTGTGTCTCTCAGAAACTTACAATGAGGGATATTCTAAGCTAACATTGAATTTGTTAGCTTAAAATTTAAAGAGAAGGCTGATGTAGCATGCCTGATTCCCACATCCAACACATAGGTGCTGAAGCAGGAGCATCACAGGTTGTAGGCCTGCCTGGGCTGGAGAGATGGCTCAGCATTTAAAAGCACTGACTGCTCTTCCAGGGAACCCAGGTTCAATCCTCAGTACCCACATGGCAGCTCACAACTATCTTTAACTCCAGGATCCAACACCCTCACAAAACATACATATAGGTAAACCACCAATAAAATAAAATTTTAAAAAAAAATCTACCAAAATCCAGTGAGTTTAGACCGCAGGCTGTGAGTACCAACGTCCTGGTCCTACTACCTGTGAGATGTGTTTGACTAAGTTTCTTAATTTCTCTGGGACTCAGTTTCCTCTTTTGTAAACAAAATAGCCTTAACCTTTGACAGGGTCAAAGGCATAAGTTGTGTGTCTTAAATCACTGCCTCACCTGCACCAAGCACATGATTGTGATGACTTCCCAGACACAATGCAAGCCAATACAAAGCCAGCCAGCAGTTACACTGTTTTCGGGATCCCAGGGTGGCCCTGAGTCTTTCTCAACGAGAGCTTTTAAGCACACACACACACACACACAAAAAAAAAAAACATGTTCTGGCTTGACAGTTAATAAAAACAGCCAGAAACAGAATTATAAAAGCCAAAATGCAAGATTAGTACATTTAGAGACTTTCCCAGAACTATGGACTTTGATGCATTAGGTCATTGTTTTCATTTTTGGCTGGTGGTGCTGCCTGCTTTTGGAGTTTTACAGTCCATATGGTACTTCTATCATGAACTCAGTTATGTTAAGATCTGGGACCCTGTCACGATTGCTACAATGATGATACAGTCCCTTTGGGGGTGGGGTTCACAAATCTCATGCCAAAGAATCTTTAGATCATTCAAGGAATTGATGTTTTGATCTCTATATTGTCTCTACATAGCCCTGGCTGTCCTGTAAGTCATGTAGATGAGGCTGCCTTCATGTTCACAGAGGTCCTTCTGCCTCTGCGTCCCAAGTGCTTGGCTCATGAGGAGTTCCAGTGGAGGCGGGCACACAATATTTTGTCCTAGTTAGTTTTCTAAGCACTTCACATGTTGGAGTGATTCAGGCTCTAAGGAACACACAGCCTCAACCGAGACAGTGAACTCCTGCAGTCCCCGTTAACCCAAGGCTGAGGAAGGAGGATCATTTCATCCCTCAAGTTGAAGATCAGCCTGGGTAATAGTCTCAATGAAACAGTCTCAAAGGAAAAGACAGCTTCCATATCCTTTAAAGTCAACTTGCCTTGTCACCATTGGCCCATGAGTCTGGCATCCAGGTGGGCTTAGCCTAGAAAGGATCCAAGAGCATTGAACTGTGGGAACATCTTCAGATATCATTAGATATCTGAGCATGGCTTGCTAAAAAGCAGAAGCAAAACTGGACCACATGGATAGAATGGCTGCTCAGGTATAGAAACTGTTTTGAAAGCTGGGCAGTGGTGGCTCACGCCTTTAATTCCAGCACTGAGGCAGGTGGATCTCTGTGAGTTCGAGGCCAGACTGGTCTACAAGAGCTAGTTCCAGGACAGGTTCTAGAACTACAGCAAAACCCTGTCTCAAGAAACAAACAGGGGGCTGGAGAGATGGCTCAGTGGTTAAGAGCATTGCCTGCTCTTCCAAAGGTCCTGAGTTCAATTCCTGGCAACCACATGGTGCTCACAACCATCTGTAATGAGGTCTGGTGCCCTCTTCTGGCTTGCAGACATACGCACAGACAGAATATTGTATAAATAATAAATAAATATTTAAAAGAAAAAAGAGAAACAGCCGGGCAGTGGTGGCACATACCTTTTAATCCCAGCACTTGGGAGGCAGAGGCAGGCAGATCTCTATGAATAGTTTGAGGCCAGCCTTGTCTACAGAGCAAGTTCCAGAACAGGGTCCAAAGCTACAAAGAAACTTTGTCTCAGAAAACAAAACAAGCAGAAACACATACCTGTAATCCCAGCACTTGGAAGAGAGAGGTAGGAGGATTAGAAGCTCAGTCATCTTCAACTAGATAGTAGGTTTGAGTCCAGCCTGGGCTACTTGAGACCCTGTCTCAAAAGACACTGGGTATGAATGGTGCAAACCTAAATTAAATCCTAGCACTCAGGAGGCAAGATCTCTGAGTTTGAGGCCGGCCTGGTCTACATAGCCAGTTACAGGCCAACCAGGTCTACAATGTGAGACCCTGTCTCAATGAATAGATAGATAGATAAATAAATAAACAAGCGAACAATACAGACATACGCAAAATAAAGATGTGTATTTTGGTGTTCTTCATTGTGGCCATGTTAATTAGTCATGCTCACTTCTTTATCAAAGGAGACTTCGACTCCTGTGGTTCAACCCAGTCGAATACATCTTCTTTAGATGCTGATAATACTTTTCTTTATCTTTCCCTTTCTCTCGCTCTCTCTCTTCCTCTCTCTGTTTCCTCCTTTTCTTCCTGTCAATGGATTTTTCAGTGCAGAAGATTGTGTACAGCTTAAATTCCTTGTAATTAAGCAACTTTTATTAGGGGAGGGAGAGAAAAAATTATAAAGAAGTTTAGCAAGGTGGTAAGCGTATGTTACTCTGGAATCTTGGAAACTTGGAGGCATAGGAGTTGGTTACAGGCTGGCTGGGGGCCTAGTACCCAGGAACAGTGATGTCCTTTGCAGACCATCGTGGGAACAGGGTCACCTTGTCACGTTCCCATGTCATCCTCCCACTGTGGTCACCTGCTTTCCCTTACACAGGCATAACTTGCCATCCTCCCTGGAGCTTTTTCAGGATTTTTCTCACTCGGTTCTATCATAGAGTTTCTTCCTTTCTGCTTGTTCAAATCTGTAAACACTTCTCTTGACCCCCATGTGATCCCCATCTTAGTCTGCCTCCTCGCAGCCTCCATAGTTGTGTGTCTGCACCACATGATGTGACAGCTGGTCCTGTCTCCGCCAGGGCCACTTGTCTCAGTTGTTTTCCCAGTCCCAGTCTGCTGCCAGCCTCCTCCTCACCATCCCTACCAGCGGTACAGGACATGGCCCTCTGCCCCATGATTCTTAAATCTGCACTTACTCGGTCACCTGTGATGTCAAAGTCATGGAAAAGCTCCCGGAGTTCCTGCTTTTTAAGATTGAAGAGAAATCTGTACATTTCAAAATCGGTTCCATCTATTTTCAACTCTCCTTTCAAGTCAAGCAAGTCAAAAACCGGCCGGGAATGGCGGTACATGAACTGATCTTCCAGATGGCTCTATTTGGAGAGAAATGTGTAAGAGTATTGGTGCTACCCTGTATGGTGTTACACTAAGATTTATATAGCTGGGGAGTGAAGAGACAACTCAAAGTTTAAGAGCATTGACTGCTCTTCCAGAGGTCCTGAGTTCAATTCCTAGCAACCACATGGTGGCTCACAACCATCTATAATTAGATCCAGTGCCCTCTTCTGGCCTGCAGCATACATGTAGGTAGAACATTATATACATAATAATGGTTTTTTTTGGTTTTTCGAGACAGGGTTTCTCTGTAGCTTTGGTGCCTGTCCCGGAACTAGCTCTTGTAGACCAGGCTAGCCTCGAACTCCCAGAGATCCACCTGCCTCTGCCTCCCGAGTGCTGGGATTAAAGGCGTGCGCCACCACCGCCCGGCTACATAATAATGTTTTTAAAAAAGATTTATAAGCCAGGTGGTGGTGGCACATGCCTTTAATCTCAGCACTCAGGAGGCAGAGGCAGGTAGATCTCCATGAGTTCCAGGCCAGCCTGGTCTACAAGAGCTAGTGCCAGGACAGGCTCCAAAGCTACACAAAGAAACCCTGTCAAAAAAAAAAAAAAATTTTACATAGTTACCAGCCATTCCCTAGAGAGCTTAAAGCAAAAAGCAAACACCAAACTTGGGAAAGGACTGTGAAGATGGACAAGGCCCTAAGGAGTCCCCATGTTCAAGGGAAACTTCTGTGGTGTCAGTTCTGCTTCACGAACAACCCTGGCTGCCACCGTGTGCTGATGCTCTCGGGAAGCTTTGACCTTGGTGTCCACTCACACAAGTTCTGTTTCCTCAGCAGAAGCTAGCAAATGCATGACTGGTGTTTGATGGCGAGGGTGTGGCCCAGAGAACAATGCCCCCCCCTCCTTCCCTTTCTTTTAGCCTCCACAGAAAAGTCTCTGAACCCAGGGATCAGGGCAGGAATGAGTGAGGTACTTGGGATGGAGGACAGGCAGGCCAAGAAAGGTGGGCATGTGGGCAGGGCAACGTGGGAGGACTGGAGATGAGTGAAGCTCCAGAGAGAGGCTGGGGTGGTGCTAGAATGCCTAGGTTGATTCGGGAACCAAAACTGAAGTTCACATTTCTTTTCCACCCATCCGTTTGTAGTGACGGAAAAGTGGCCTCTCTCACGCCAGTGTCGACTCCATCACGCCCCGCCCCCACCCCTGGCACTCACCTGATGCGACAGCACAATGCAAACCAGCACGTAGAACTGGTCAAAACCAATCTCTCCCATAGCCGTCCAGTCCAGCATGTCGAATATCATCTTGATATGTGTGATTTTCATGTTAGTCACGTGGTGGAGGAAATGAAAGAATAGCACATCTGGGGGAAGAGAGGACCAGATGGGTTGTTCTAGAACAGTCCCAAAATGCTAAACCAAGAGCCACATAAAAAAAAAAAATGCAGAAGTGCCAGAAGCTTACAGTGCTGGAAGGAGAATGACAAGATTTTGTTTCTGGCTTCACACGGAACCTTCCACAATTCCACAAGGGTTTTATTGCCCTTGCTGTGGAGAAGCAGATGCCAAGTCACGAAAGCTGCATGACCATGTGTCATCCATGCCCAGACAATGTGGCTCCTGACCCCAGTTACGGACGATTTTGCACACATCCCCCAGTGACCGGCAAGCTGCTGATGCTCTTTGTTTGAGGAAGGACAGCTTCATTTTTGCTATGTTAAAGATGTTGGGCTGGGGAGATGGCTCAGAGGTTAAGAGCACTGGCTGCTCTTCCAGAGGTCCTGAGTTCAAGTCCCAGCAACCACATGGTGGCTCACAACCAACTGTAATGAGATCTGGTGCCCTCTTCTGGCCTGCAGGCAAATATGCAAGCAGAACACTGTGTACATAATAAGTAAATAAAATCTTTAAAAAAAAAAAGCATGTTAACATGTGGGTGGGAGAGATGGCTGTCAGTAAAGACATTTTTCATGTAAGCCTGGAGACCTGAGTTTGATCTCCAGAACCTATATAAAAGTATAAGGAGAGAATGAACTCCCCAGAGTTGCCCTTTGCCTTTCCCATGCACACATGTGTGCACACACACACACACACACACACACACATCATGCACATACAGATACCCACATAAAATATTTTTTCAAAGATCCCGATGTTCTCCTCAGCCTTTCCCATGATTCCTTTCATCAGAACGGTTGGTTTAAAAATCATCCCTCTCCTATGAGAGTCCCTAGAGTTTCCATGCTTACTCAGAGCAAAGGCTTTCTGACTGTGGAGGGAGGGAGCCTTCCCCGTGTGGAGCACTTCCTGAATGCCACACCTCAGCAAACCCTGAAACCCCGACAGGAAGGTGGTAGCCCACCCCCACGGCCATGGCCAGCACATTAGCTCCTTAGTATTCTCGTCAAACTGCAGCTCCTGTTCCAGGGAATGTGGCCTAGGACAGACTCCACGTTGCTCCCAGCTCTGGGGTGATATGGCTGCTGCTGGTCTGTGGTCACTTTTGGGTGGCAGGGTTGGGGCTCATATGTGGGCCAGCCTGATGGCAGCTGTGCACTTATTACTATGAAGCCACATCTATTGTGCATTCGTTAACCCATATTCAAGCACAAACATCCAGGGAAAGTACTGTAACTTAAAGAACAGGAAGGTTCTTGTCAGCCCACTTACCAGACATTACAGCCAGAGTAAGGCGGGAGCAGCACAGTGATGGCTTGTGGCCCGGGAATGTAAATCAAATTAGCCCTTTTCTCTTTCCAGTTGAAACATAGCCAATTGGTACCATGAATGGCAGACACAGGAGCACACACCTGCACCCACATTTATTTCTGTTTTTTTCTTTTATAATGTGTCTGCAGTGGCATTTCTGTTATTTCGGTTGTTCCAGAAGCAAAATTGAAATTTTACATGACAATTGAGCACAACAGTAGTGGTGCAAACCTTTAATCCCAGAACTTGGGAGTCAGAGACAGGCAGATCTCTGAATGTGAGGCCAGCCTGGTCTACCAATCCAGTTCCAGGACAGCCAGGGATACAGAGAAACCCTGTCTCAAAAAAAAAAAAAATAAGATAACAAAATAAAGGAAAGGAGAGAGGGGGAAGAGAGAGAGAGAGAGAGAGAGAGAGAGAGAGAGAGAGAAGAAAGGGGAGGGAGAAAAAAGAATGAAAGGAAGAAAAAGATCTAGCTATGGGATTTTCAAGTGTGATCTTATGTGTGGTTTCCCCTCCATTGTTCATTTGTTTGTTTGGTTGCTTTTGTTTTGCTGTTGATAAGGGATCTTACTGATGGCTGGCCTGGAATTCTATGTAGAAGACCACGTTGGACTCAGATTTGCAGCCATCCTGCCCAGCTTCCCCTTTGCCTCTAGATTACCAAAACTATCTCCAGATTTGGGTGAGGCAGCTCATGCCAGTAATCTTGGCACTCATGAGACTGAGGCAGAAGGATTGCTGCCAGTGCAAGCCCAGCGTTTTCTACTGAGTCAGACTCTGTCTCAAAACACAAATGGGCTGGAAAGATGACTCAGAAGTTAAGGGTTAAGAGTTAAGGCTGCTCTTTCAGAGGATCCAAGTTCAATTCCCAGCACCCACATGGTGGCTCACAATTGTTATAACTTCAGTTCCAGAGGGTCTGTTGTTATTTTTTGGTTTCCATGGGTGCCAGGCATACATGCAGCCAAACATACACATAAAATATTGTTTTAATTATTTTTATTTTATGTGCATTGGTGTTTTGCCTGCATGTATATCTGTGTGAGGATGTCAGATCTTGAAATTACAGACAGGTCTGAACTGTCATGTGGGTGCTGGGAATTGAACTCAGGTCTTCTGGAAGAACAGTCAATACTCTTAACCACTAAGCTATCTGTCCAAGCCCAACACATAAAATTTTTGAAATGTTTTAAAGAAAAAAACTGGGGCTGGAGAGATGGCTCAGTGGTTAAGAGCACTGGTTGCTCTACCAGAGGTCCTGAGTTCAATTCCCAGCAACCATATGGTGGATCACAACCATCTGCAATGGGATCTGGTGCCCTCTTCTGGCCTGCAGGCATACATGGAGGCAGAACACTATATATATAGTAAATAAATAAAATCTTTAAAAAAGAAAAAAACTATCTCTGGGCTCTACTGAGTATATAAAACACTTGGTTGGGCTGGAGAGATGGTTCAGAGGTTAAGAGCACTGGCTGCTCTTCCAGAGGTACTGAGTTCAATTCCCAGCAAACACATGACGGCTCACAACCATCTGTAATGAGATCCGATGCCCTCTTCTGGTGTGCTGGCAAACACGCAGACAGATTATTGTATACATAATAAATAAATAAATCTTTAAAAAAAAAAAGGCAAAAACCCTTCATCAATGTTATTTGGAGTCCCAGCAGGAAGCAGCCAGGAGCACAATGAGCCTATGGTCACAATGCCAACTTTGGCCTGTTGACCACTTGGCGGACCCTTCTGTGTGCTCCACCAGATGTGAACACGCCGAGCAACACCCTGTACCCACACAGTGATGACAGAGTGTCCTGCACGACATTGTAACTATGGAATCAATGCTGTCTGCAACAAGATGACTCTGGTCGGTCACTCACGTCCCCGGGGCTTACAGTTGTTCTTCCAGTAAGCAAACCGTCAGGCTGTACTGCCCCCCCCTCAGGTCACCGTCCCTACCCTTGATGATCAGAGAGCAGGCTCGGACCTCCTGGGTACTGTGTCGCTGGGGGATTATTTGGTTGCTAGAGAGATGAGACTCTGTCCCACAAATGTCCCAGGGAGACAGTGTGGCTTAGCTTTCTGAGGGACAGCTTGGTGCCCTACAGCTGTCTTATCTGGGCCAGGGAGGACTGGTATCGCATTTCATGCCAATCTGCACGCACAGAGGAAAGCGCGGCATGACGCTGTAGAAAAGGAGGGTCTGCAGGTCGCTGTTTGCTTTCATTCTTTCCAGTGCCGGACCCTGAGTCCAGGCTAAACATGTCTACTGCTGAGCTGTTCATTTTTGTTGTTGTTGGTTTTTTTTTTTTTTTTTTTTT